AATCAAATTGATTAAATATATACTATATAATAAATATACAACCAGAGAAAAGAATTTTAAAAGACTTCAATATAATAATAGATGTTATAATACAAATGCATATTCATATAAAATTAGCCAGTAAATATTTCACCCACCTTGTACGAAATGCACGCCAACTCATCATTATATCCCCACAAAAAAAAAACAAAAAAAATACATTACAGCATTATATAATAATAATAAATATATTGTCTCGTCAAATTGATGTTGGGGTAAACGATTCTTTTTGCTCAAGATATCGATATAGATCGTGTAAATAAAGATGATAATATTAAGATAATATATTAAGATAATATATATATATATATTAAGATAATATTAAAGATTGAGTTTACCAATTGTTTAAAAATCTAGTGATGAGCCCCGGACTAAAAAAATACTTTTTATAAACGATAATCGAGTTTTTTTTTCAATGTACTACACTATATATTTAATAAATGCGGTGTTTATCTATATCAGTTATATTAAAAATTTGTTGACCAACAAAAAGCCCCACGCCACTTTTCCGACAATTTTTTTTTTTTTATATCTAGTTAACAAGGGTAACAGATAATTCCATTATATTATTTTACATGAATTCACAAAAATGTATGGTTTCAACTTACCTTTTGATCACGTACGTACATTGTGCGTACGTGCGTTTTTTTACGTACATATCTGATATGTACGTACGTCCGTACGTAACAGTACGTTGAATATTGTTCGTAAAAGAAAACAACATTGGTGACAGAAAAATAATTTAATGATACACATGTAATGCTTTTCTATATAATAATTTACAAATATAGTATTTAATGGTGAATGGTTTTCTAATTTTTCTAACTTTGAAAATCTAACTTAGAAAATCATTTGTTTGTTTAGATTTTCCTATCGAGTTTCATATATAAAACCTACTTGATCGCCCTTTCTTTCAGCCCGTTGGAAAAATTATAGAAAATTAGACTTTATTTAAAAAAAAAAACTTTGAATTTTCAAATAAAATTACACAAAAAAATTAATATTATTATTATTATTTTTTATTTTATTATTATTATTTTTTTTTTAAAGAAAAAACGAAAAAAAATGGAACAAGAATTTATGTTAGTTAATTATCAAAAACAAAATTCTAATAATAAAGGCAAAAAAATACTTGGAAGATTAAAGTCTTGGACAAAGAAAGCGGTTCTTCGTAAAAATGATAAACCCTTAATGTTAAATCAACCACAACAACAATTAGGTGGTCGTAATAGTATTTCAAGCAGTATTTATAATAATATTTATCGACAAGAATCAGATTTCTACGGAGGTCATATTGGTGGAAATACAGGTGGGAAAGTAGGAAACGTAAAACGACCAAAGAGTTCGCGGATTTGTTCAATGATAACTCCAATTTCTTCATCCGAAGAAACTTCTGAAAGAACTATACCTTTATCAAGACCATTATCCCAAGTTTCTCGTTTACCGAGACCATTATCCCAAATTTCTCAAATAACTTCGAGAAGTAATAATATTGTTTCACCTTTACCTTTACCCACTGTTGTTGAAGAGGATAAACAATTAGATGATATTCAGATAGCGTGTAGATTATATGAAGTATTAAGTTGTCATGACAAAGAATTGAAACGTGATGGCATATCAGAAAAGTCGGTAGCATTGACTTTAGAAAATAATAGTCTTAATGAAGAAAAGAATCTTAACATTCTTTCTGAAGAAAAAAATAATAGCATTAATACTGAAGAAAAACGTAACAGTGCTTATATTTTTGGAAAAGAATGTCCTTCTTGTAGATTTATTAACGAATTGATGATGTTAGAATGTGAATTATGTCATACTCTATTATTTTATCCAAATAATAATATTTATACAACTCGATCAAGTAATTTATCCCGTATTTCATTACCAACTTCCGATATGTTTTCTTACCTTCCAACTTTAGAGACTACACAAATGACTGTTCTATATGAACAAGATCAAGATTATATAATTGTAAGAAGAATGTTTTTTTCTGATATTCCACGAGCGGAAATTAAAGGAATAATTCGATTGGATATGCCAACTAAACTTGTTAAAGCTCATGAAAAATATAAGAGAAAAATCGCAACAAAAACTGGCCTTAAAACTGAGAATATTACTCATGCAATGTTTCATGGAACTACCTCTTCATTTGATTGTAATCCTGAACGGTTTTTACAAGGAAATAAAGAACTCTGTAAGAAAGGATGTGGAGTGTGTGGTATCACGAAGCAAGGGAACAAGAAAAAGTATTCTAAACATTCTAAAAGTGTGTTCATATTCGTATTATTATTATTATTATTATTATTATTATTATTATTTCACTTATTTCATAAGATTTTTTTATTAACTTATTCATTTTTATTATTTTTTTATTAGAAATGTGGTTCGCACATAGCGCATTAGTTTCGAATGACTATACAAACGTCAACTCTCATATACAAGTAATGTTTATTGTTGATGTAATAGCTGAGAAACATGATTGGATTCTCGTGGCTCGTAAAAACAAGGTACAATTTTTATTCCATCATAATCTTTTTATTCTTTTATCTCTTAATATTAATTTATTTTCATTATAGGCTACACTTCCAAGATTCATGATAATATTTGATAAAAGTCTTTAATATCATTATTTTAATCTTTCTGGCAAAATATGGAGCGAATCTTCCCTTTCAACGTGACGAATAAATAGGAAAAAACTGATCACGATTAAAACAATTGTGAAATGTGTGATAATTGGCAGATTCGATTAATACTATTCTTATATCAATCGTTCAAATTCGTACTTAAAATTTTTTTTTTAAAAAAAAAAATCGAATACATGCGAGGACACACAGCTCCAATATTATTCGTAGTCTATTAAAGCAATAGTATGAAGACGTGTAACGACACTATTCATACATAATTGCTTCGAAAAAAAAAGGGGGAAACATTCCTTTTTACGTGAAAGAGTCGGCGCTTCTTGCTATGAAAAGGAATTTTTTTAAAAATTTTGTACATAATGTATTTATTATTATTAAAATTTCCTATATAAAAGCACGTGAGAGTTGAAATTTGAATTTAACATTAGCTATTTTTTTTCCTCGTAATAACGAAGTAAAAGACGCGTGATTCTAAGAATTTTTATGATTTATGCATAGCATTTTATGATTTCTAAGGAGTTTCACAGTCGGCTGATATAAACATCTTGTATGCTTTTTATTTTTTAATTCTTTTTTTTTTTTTTAAGATAGACAAAGAATTAATGGCATATACTGTATGCGCTTAAAAAAAGATTTTTTGAACGGCATATAACTAACGAATGCTGCAAATTGTTTATGCAGAGACATTAAGACTTAAGCAATAAAAAATTATTTAATATGACGTACGTACGTACGTACTGTATATGTATAACCCGCCAATTTTTTAAGCATTAATGAATTGTTATCGTTATCTGAACTCTAAATTCGTTCTCAGATTTCTAATTGACGTTGAATGAATGAATGAAGATAAATATTACATTACTACAAGACCACCAATCATAACACATTTAAAATAACTAGACAAAATGATATTAACGAATTAGATTAACATATGAGATTGGTTTCATATTCGTTTCTAAATATGAGCAATTATTAAAAATAATTAAATTAAGGTTCTAAAAACTTTCGAATATGGTTTATTTGAACTCATGATTCTTAGATCTTATACCCTTACATACAAATTGAAAAAAAAAAAAAATTTTTTTTTTAATAGCTCGAAAGTTTTGAATAAAATAATTTCTATTACGTAGCAGTTATGATCCGCACATTATGTACGTATTTACGTACGTACATACATATCCGTATTTCCCTAAAAGAACTTTGTGAAACAGTATAGAATGATATCGTTGTTGGATTTATTGTATGTGCGTATATGCATGCATATATGCGTACGTACGTACGTACGTACTTATTTTAAAATAACGATTTAGAAGAAACATCTATATTATATTGAAGTCTTTTAAAATTCTTTTCTCTGGTTGTATATTTATTATATAGTATATATTTAATCAATTTGATT